TCTCGGGGTCGAAGACTCGCCTGGGCGGCGCCCTGTCTCTATCTCTGTCCCTCCAATAGGAATCCCTCAAACTCTCTCTCTAGTCGTCTCTGTACCTGTCCGCTATGGTGTCCCTCCGCTCGTACTCGGGGGAGCGTCGCCTCATCGCTTCTCGTCGTCCGCTCGAGGTACCCGTCTTTAGAGCCTCTTGCGGCTCTGTCGCAACTGGTTCGCCTCTCATGTCGGCCCCTCCGTCATTGGTTTGGTCAGCCCATCTCAGAGGTGCTTCTCGCCTAATTCGTTCCTTCAGATCCCTTAGAGCTCGATCGGGCGATGTCCTGTACTCGTCTCCAGGTTCGCCCGTGGTCGGTTGTGGCCCCATCGTGTCGGGTTCCATTGGACCGCCAGAAGACGCGGCTAGGTATTCTAGCCAATTACAGCCCGACCCTATGACAGTCGCTGCAGCCCGGACCCGTTTCCTTGTCACGGCTCGCGTCCGCCTCCAATCTTAGCTCTCGACTGCCTTGATTACCACCTCCAGTATCTTGTACCATTCACAGATCTCGTGTTGTCCCTCTATCCCAAGAATCCCTGTGTCTAAGTAACCTCTCCTTCGGGATCAGCCAACAAGGCCATGCCTGTCCGGATCCGCAGTACTTCCGTGACAGTACCTCTATCCTTGAGAGAGATCGCAGTCCCAAACCTAGCTAATGTCTCCTGATCAACACCCCTCAAGAGTCTCGGAGCGTCTCTTTATCCTCCTTTCTAGTTCTCCTAGCCCTGTCCTGAATCGGTTAGCCCGCTAAAGGCCTTTCTACTGTCGTCCAATGTCGCCCATCGACCTTTCTAGCTTCGTCTATCCTTCCAAGAACTTCCAATTTCTATTTCCACTACCTTATCTCCTCAACGGTTACGAGGTCATCTGTCTAACAACTGAGGTAAGTTAGTGCTATAACCACTTGTAACCTCATCGCCGACCGTTGCAATATGTCATAAAATGTCTCAAAGTCCTCCTTATGTCCTCCATCGTCTATCGCCTCTAAAGTCTTTATCGTTTCCTTCCAGTACCGGTTGTGAGCGGCTAACACCCTGAGTATTGCACCATCTGTTACAACTCTCCCTAACTCTCCAGCTTTCCTAGCTTCGCTTATCTTCAACCTCTCACCCTCTCTGGTCGTCTCGTAGTATGCCCTTATCCTAGACCGCCCTTCGAAAGGTGTCACTTGGAGTACGTATTTTATCCTCCGTCCTCCTTCTATTCCAATCCAAAGTCATGTTCCCCTAGCCGCACGCAGCGCGAGGCGGATACACTCTGCCTCCTCAACTATGCACAGTCAGGTATGGAGCTGGAGTTCTATGATCACTAACACTAATGGTCCGTCGAGTCTCCCTACCACATATAATGAGTACCGATCCGTCGTGTGTAATGCAGTCCCGCTCATGTCCTATCGCTACTTCCCTGCGTTACTTTGTCTTCCGTTGTCTCGCTCTCTACAGATCGCTCACTAGTTTCTTCGCGTGATACGCTTCTAGCCTTTACCCTCTCCAGAAAGTCTGATCTCCACGTCTGGATAATCTCTCTTTCTTCCCTAATCAGATTGTCTAACACTCTTGTCACGAGTCCAGCCTTACGGAACTTGCCCTCGTCCTGGCATGATCAGATCTCCCTTAACTTGTTCTCCAACTTCTTTACCTGGTTCAAGAGTGGTTCTTTTACGCGCTTTCTGACTCTTCCGACTGCCTCACTCTCCTCTTCCATACTCCGTCCACATCTTTTTCCAGCTCACCGTCTCACCCTTGCTCTAGCCTCCGCTACCGTCTCATCGTGGTAGTGCTCCGCGCGCATATAACCATGAGACCATATCATCACATCATAGGAAATCGAGGTCTGGAAGGTCACTCGTGCTAGTACATCAGCTCTACGCTCGTGGATCAAATCCCTAGCTCGTTGTCTGCACTCACTCGCTGTCAAGTCCTTGTCTACGTACGCTCGAAGAAGTACTGTCACAGTGTATCCTGCGCTTACCAGTTGCTCTTCTACACGCATCACAGTGGTCGTCCTTCCCGACATTCCCTAAGTTGCGGCCTCGAAGAGAAATCTCGCGTCCTCTAGCCCCGCGTAATCGATCTCTGCCCGTCTCCTGGAGTACCTAGTCAGATCGATAGGTCTCTAACAGTTCACCCAGCTAGTAACATCTATGATATCGTCAATCGTCTCTCTAAGGGGCGGCCCCCACCTCACACAAATGGCGTAGTATACTTCCTTGAAGCGGGGCGCTAAACCCTCCCAGAGCGCGTAAAGTGTGTGGTCCACTGCTCTACTCAAACGATCCACGCTCCCATAGGTCTGCCCTATGACGAAGGTAGGAAGTCCGAATCGCCATTCCTTTCTCGGGTAGAGGGTTGGATGTGGTGGACCGTATACCAAGCAGCTCCAACTCGTCCTCCCTCCAGAGAGTCTCGCCAATTGCTGATTAACGATCATTCTGGCCAACAACTCGCTTCTCCACCAACTCCTGCTCACCCCTGCGAGCGTTAGCCCTATCTCTAAATTGTGTGCTCTATCCGGTATCAGATGTCCGACCCCTTCTAGATCATGAGTCCTCTCGGGTCGTTCATCCCGTAGTATCACTGTCCAAACGAAGAGCCCCTCTGCGAGCCACGTTCCCAAGTATCGTATCAGTACACGCCATGCCTCTTCTAACGCCACAGGAAGTGGTATGTCGTATCCAACCGTCGTCTCTCTGGGTCCCACAAGCTTCTTCACACTATACAATTCGGACTCTCATGAGAGAACATAAGCTAACCAGGTCACTGAATCACTCCTCATCTCTCCTCCTACTCTCGGTCAGCATCACTCTACTCCCTCTGATGCACCCCATCTCTCGACGTTGCTAACCCTTCAGACAACTCTCGCACCCGAGGTCCAGTATGGTCGAATAGGTTCAGTAGCCAGGCTCACTCAACCATCGCCCTGGTGTGCTCCTCTACCTCCTACGCCCGGACCGCTACTCCTATCCTGGGAAAATGGGCGTCCGTAACGTCAATCTCCTCCTCGTCAACCTCACTCTCTGGGTCGACCCAGTCTCGCTCCCACAGCTCCTCGTTGTCCTCTCGCTCCCAACCCTCGTCATCAAACTCGTCCTCGACGCGGTATGGCACCTGTCCTATACCTTGGTAGTATTGCGCCAACTGATGGCCGTATATCAGAGGTCGCCTGGCGTCCTCACCCCACCAGCTCTCCCAGTCGTCTGAGAAGAGCCGCCCGATGCAGGTCACGTACTCGGGGCCTGCTCGGAGCTCACGATCTAGCCAATCCCAAACGCACGGAGACTGGGGCCACTCATCGTCTATCGAGCGGATCAGCTCTATAAGCTGAACTCTCTCGTCTCCCCAACGAGACCCACCGGTTGTGAGCGAATGATAGATGTAGTCTAGGTCGGCAGGCCTTCTCGCCAGGATCTTGAGATCCTGATAGGCCAGGTATGTCTCGACCATTTCACCAATACCTCCAAAGATGCTCTCTACTACAAACGTCGGAACTATCGCCCGCAGGCTCCTAACGCTGTACGGGAAAAACCCGTCCTGTGCTACCACCAACTCGCCCGTGATATCAAGAGGAGGGCGTCCGTGAAGTAGGGTCAACGGGTCGCTCGAGTCCTCCGCTCGGAAGGCAGCTACCTCTTCCCCTAGGTAGCGTAACGCCCTGCTAACTGTGCCACTCGTCCCTGTCGTCGCGAGGCCCACCACGGCCTCCCTCACCGCACCTCGTCCCAGATACAAGTAGGCTCTCACTACGCCCACTCCTTGCCCCGGCCGGTGCTCTCTGTACGTCCATAGCCACACGTCCTCGGACAAGATTATGGACCTCCACGCAAACAAGCCGTCAACATGTCGAATGTTGCGCCCGGGGATCGTAAGCTCGACCAGATCCCCCTGTATGAGTTCAGAGGGCTCTAAGTCCCAGTCAATGGTACCCCCATAGACCTCAGCTCGCACCCGCGGCCACATTCAACTGGCGGCTAGAGAGAACGCAGCAAGAGGGAGGTGTAGATTAATGACTGGAAATTCCCGTCGCTTACCTCTCGCCTTCGGGAACAAGCTAGTAGGTTCACCCGAAACCAGGTTACCGCAGCGTCTCTTTCCCTTCTTCTTCTAGGGAATTCTTTTGTATTTTTCAATTATAAATTAAAAAAAATGTATTTAGTTAAGATAAAATTTCTTTCTTAGTTTATATATATTGAGGATCAATACATATATTGGCCCGCCGAGTTTGATGATTTTTAGGGGTAGAAATAAAATTTGGGGAATTTACTAAAATTTCGGCAGCGTTTCGCCTCCCCCCGTTGGGATGGGGTTCGGGCGAAGCCCCCAAACAGCGCTGTCGAAGAGGGAATATCAAAAGGAATAATGAAAAAAAAAGAAAATTGATTAAACTCAGTTTTTAAATATTTTTGTTAATTAATTAGCAAAAAATTAAATTAAAAGGGAAATTTCGAGAAATTTCGACAGCAGTTTTCCTCCCCCCCCCAGTGAGATGGGGTTCGGAAAAAAGTCCCTCATATAGGTAAGGTAGATATGAAGAGCATTGAAGTCAAACAAATGCCCCTACGCAATTTTTAATATTTATTTTAATTTTTTTTATCGTTTTTAAATAACAAAATCAAAAGTAAAATAATTCTTAATTATTTAATGGGGCAAAACTTCCCGAATTAATTTCCCCAATCTTACGGGATATATTTGACAAAAAATAATCCGTAACAAATGCGGAAGTTAGAAACTATGACTTCCCTCCTTCTACCCGCTTCTCTCAAAATTTGGGCTAGGACTTCACCCTAATTAGGGTTTCCCCTAATTAGGGTTTTGGGTTTTGCGCGCTACCGCACGAACACCGCAAAGCCCTGCTCAACGCGAGAAAAATTTTGTTAGCTTTCACCAGTTTTCAAAGAAAAACTTATTGGATTACATTTTTAAATTCCTTTTTTTTTTAATTTAAACAAAATTACAAAAAAAATCAATTTCCCGTTGATTTTCTTCGCCTTTTCTATCTGTTGGAGCTCGCAGTTTGTCCAAACGAAGTCCGTTTCCTCGACTAGGATCTCAAAATGTCGGGAAAAATACAGGGTCCAACTTTGGTCTCAGCGGGGTCCCCCTAATAACGCTTATTTTCCCGACCATTTCAATAAAACGAAAATCAAAATTTTTAAAATTTTTAATAAAAAGTTACAAAAAAAATCATATCTCGTTTTTTAGCCGTTCGAATTTCTCAAAAAATATCTTAAAATGTTCGCCTCGATGAGAAGACAAACTTTGCTCCCAGTGCGCCTCGCACGAAAGCGCGCGGATCAAGAGATATCGAGGAAAAAACAATTAGAAATTTTAACTCATGATTTTTGGAAATTTTAATTAGAAAATTACAAAAAATTCCATATCTTTTTTTCTAGCCGTTAGAATTTTTCAAAAAATATCTCAAAACGTTCGCCTCGACG